CAATCGGCGCTGTCCTGCAGCAGTTTTCCCAAGGTGATTGGCAAGTACTAGTGTTCTTCTCCCGACGTCTTCAGACAGCCGAGTCGAAATACAGCCGCGAGTTACTCGCCGTATACTCCGCCTTTCGCCATTTTCGTCACGTTCTCGAAGGTAATCATTTTACGATCCTTACAGCTCACAAACCACTCGTCTATGCATTCCGGAACCCTTCGCACCAACACTCTCCGCATGAAGTTCGTCATCCAGATTTCGTGTCTCAGTTTTCGACGGACGTCAAACACGTGTCTGGCAAAGATAACATCGTGTCGGACACGCTTTCAATAGTAAACTCTCTGGCTCCGATCGATCAGCCGCTCGATCTATCAGCTATGGCCGCTGCTCAGCAAGCCGAAAAAGACCTTATGTCATCCTGCGAAGAATCCACGTTAAAGTTGGTATCTAGACCGATTTCTTCGTCTACAGGTACAATAATCTGCGACGTCTCTACCGGACATACACGTTTACTGGTACCAACTGTCTTTCGCCGAAAAGTCTTCGATACGCTGCACAACATCGCCCATCCTGACATCCGCGCTCCAGTCAAGATGATTGCCGACAGATACGTCTGGCCCAACATGCAGCGCGACGTCAGACTTTGGGCACGCAACTGTCTGACTTGCCAGCGAGCAAACGTTCATCGACATGTTGCCGCTTCCCGTCACTATCAACTCGAGTCGCTCACATCCACCTCGACATCGTTGGACCACTTCCGCCGTCCAAAGGCATGGTCTACATTCTGACCATGGTGGATCGCGCCACTCGTTAGGCTGAAGCTGTCCCAATTCCCGACGTATCCGCTGAGAACATAACGCGCGCATTCGTCGAGCGCTGGGTCGCTTCACAAGGCTGTCCAGCCAATGTGACTACCGACCGTGGTCCACAATTCGAATCGTCGACTTTCAACGACCTACTCAAAGCCCTCAAATGTAAGCGCATCCGGACAACTACCTACCATCCTTAAGCAAACGGAATGGTGGAGCGTTTCCACTGACAGCTTAAAGCCTCGCTAAGTGCCGCCAATGCACTTGGTTGGACAGAAGTTCTGCCAATGGTACTACTCGGAATTCGACCAGCACTGAAAGTCGATCTCGAAACGTCCAGCGCCGAACTGGTCCATGGACAACCACTCCGATTACCAAGTGACTTCTCTGAAATCCCGAACACTCCTCGCTACGACGCGCATTACGCTCGGCAGCTAACCACGAGCATGCGCCGCAATAAATCGACCGCAGTACGGGAACAGCATCGCAAGTCTTATGTTCCCGAAGATATACACCACCGCCCGTTTGTCTTCATTCGCAATGACGGTCTACGCAGACCACAAGAACGACCTTACGAAGGTCCATTCAAGGTTCTACAACGTAAGGATCGCTTCCTTCGTCACAGAACGCAACGGCAAGCGCGAAACCGCCTCAATCGACCGCCTCAAAGTTGCTTACGCCGAACCAGTGTCGAACGACGACTCCAGTCCCTCGTCCTCCGATGAATCGACCCAACCAATGGTGGAGGAAACGCCTGAGGACAGCAACACCATAACTCCTGAGCCCTCCGACTGCGTTACGCCTAAAATGGTTACTAGGTCTGGTCGTCGGGTTCACTGGCCGACAGGTTCCTTAGAACATTAGCTTAGCATTTTTGCTTCTAACAGTATTTTCAGGTTTTCATTCGCGTCAGTACCCTCCGAAAACGGCAAAACGCAAAATGTTTTGAAAACCCAAAACATCGCAAAAGGTTTTGAAAACCATAAAAACGGAGAAAACGTTTTGAAAACCGATAAAATGAGTTGTTTTCTTGACTTTTCGCTATCTATCCGGCAAGTGCTTTTCCCGTCCGTTGCTGTCGCCTCTTCTACATGCCTGATCTCGTTTCTTTCTTTCTTTTCATGTTGCGAACCGGAGAACTATCACATGTGGTCAAACACAAGTGATCGTATGCAACGAATGTTCTCCCCCTTTACTTTTATCGGCACCTTAAGGTAGGACATGGGTGGGAGCCCGCTAGGGTCCGATTGCATGATTCTTCCCCAGTAGCTGCATCAGGTTTCACCGCCTGGTCTCGCAGAAAACTGGTCCGCGACGGAGAGTCCTCAGGTAGTTCGAAGGGTCGCTAACGGTTCCCTTTTATGAGAGGGGCTATGTAGTGACCTAGAGATTGTCCTGTTTGTCTTTGTAAAATATTCTTAAAATATAATATCATTCTGTACATAGACAACTTAGGAAGCTTGCATGTTCGCACGATAACTACGTGTGTTTGAGTCATCCAGACGAATTGCATTCGCACGCTTCTGGTTTTCCGCCTCGAAGAGCGTTTGCTGCGTCTCGGCTGGCGACTATACCTTTACCCTAGCTAGAACCATTTCGCGGTGCCTTCAGCTAGCCTGGTTTGTGCGTTTCGACAATAAACGTCTATCTCGCCCATACACCCGTCTTTTTCCAATTTTTCCCTGAGGCGGGACGAACCTGACATACAGCGACCGAACGATTCCGCTATACTTCACCTTCTCCTAACCGACTTGTATCTTCAACTTTCCCTTCGTTTTTTAACTTCTTCTCACACCTTGGTATTATCACTATTTAGCTGACATTCCCCCTCTTGTTTTCTTAGCTTACCCTTTACTCTTTTACTTCACATAAACCGGTCTGGCAGGGACTGCTGGGCAGAAAAATGTGGGCAGTAATTGGTTGGACAGGGTGTGATGCGATCTCCGTTTTAGGCTTTTCAACATCTCAAGCAGACCTATCAATTCCCGATCCAACGATACGCAAAAGAAAGAACATTCACGGGATTATCCTATCGTTCCGGTCCTAAATGAACTTGAACTTGACAGTCATAGAGGTAAGCAACATCTCAGGTGTCCGCCTCCAATACGAGAAGGATGTAGCTGACTGGGCCGCAGTTAATTCCACGAAGTTCTTTGCTTACGTAAAAAGGCGCAGCGAGGCAAAACGGAATATTGGTTCATTGGTTTGTAGAGAGCAGAAAGGGAAACGTTTGTTAGCCACATCACTTCCCGCTCACTGTAGGCATCATGTGAGTTGATGCGGCAGTGTTTTACAAGGGTGCAATGCGGTCACAGTCAACAAAGCAAGATCCATGCTTGTCCAGCAAGTAGATGTCTGGCAATCGTTTGAAACATTCCGCTGTTTACGCACTGACGACTAGCTCAGGTAAACTGTTCCAGTCATTGACCACACGAGTTGACGAAGTTACACCAGAGCGAACCCGAAGCCTCTTGGGTTTAAAAAGCTTCATACCATGTCCTCGTGCCCAACTATCCGCACAAAGAAGAAAGAACTCTTGTACCTCATCCCTTATCTCATCTCGGAGAACAAGTCGCGTGTAAATTAAGTCACTACGGCGACGAAGATACTCCGGGGAGAATAAGTTCATCCTTTGAAGGCGATGAGAGTAAGATATGTTCCGGAGTGTCATGATGAATTTCGATCCACACCGTTGAACCTTCTGTATCAGTACGCATTCGCCTTTCGTGAGAGGATAAGATGCTGGCAATCCGTACTCGAGAGTTGATCGAATATGGGGGCTGAAGAGAAGTCGGAATATCTCTGGAGTCATCTGGGAAAAGAATCTCCCTATGGAGAACATCCTATTAGCAGTGGCAACTTTCTTTAGGGTGTCTTGAGTCGTGCATAGATTTGGAGAGACAATAACTCCAAGAACCTTCTCCAAGGTTGCGTTCCTGAGTAGGAAACCCCCAATTTGATTAACACCAAAGGGGTCAGGGCACGATTTGAGAGGACAAAACACAGCATGGTTAATGGGTAGCTGCCAATCCATTGACCAGCAGTGCAACCGGTCTAGCTTTGTCTGTAGCAGTTTCAGACCATCAGCATACATAAGACAATCAGGTTGGAGCTCAGATGAAAGATCACTGATGTTGGTTTTGGTGAGCTCAGGACCAAGGACAGCCCTGTGGGACTCCGCTGACTATAAAAATAGGATTGGAGTAGGTATGGTTCACTTTGACTTGCATGCTTCGGCCATTCAAAAAGTCAGCGACCAATGAACCAATAGTTAACCCCGTGGCACAAGCATCCAAACCAAGTCTACGAATTAATTCCTCCATATCCTCGCGCCAAGTCAGCCCGACCATCTAAGGGCTCCGGTCATCAGAGCCGGACAATAGCAAACCCAGTGTGTGTAGCTCAATAGACTACAGAATTAACGCTGGCAACTGTCTCGTGAGCAGACGATGCATTTTGACCACCGGTGGGACATAATGTCCGACTAGTGGGGCGTTCGCTGACGCACCCGACTAAATTACCCGCAGAAACGAGCGCGGACTTGACTAGGACGAGCCGCAGCAACAAGACACGTTATCCGGCTGCCTCAAATGGCATATCTGCTGCAACGCTGAACCCATGGTGAGTTCCAGTGCATCCTTATCCAATCAGCTGTGGGTCGCCCGGACTGAGTCAGCAAGGCATAAAAGCAAAAGAACAGTGGTTGCGCCCCTCGGCTAGCAGAAACTGCTTACGGTGCACCTACCCCACACCAACTAAAGAGTCTGCAACCTGCGTAGTGCCGCGCGGTTCGGTTGTGGTGAAAGAGGAGTGTCATCGACCCCTCCCAAACTCCCGCATGAAGGTCAATATCCCGTTGGCCCAGCTTGCGTCTTTGGCGTAGCTTTAGAAATCACGAAAATGCACGAACCTGCGTGCGGCGAACAATCCGTCACACTGAGCGGGTGAATCACGAACACAATACCCTCACAGTGGATAGAACGCTTATTCGTAGCATTTTTAGGAAATCATGGTCTCAACAAGACATGTGCAGATACCACATGGACGCAAACGGGTCCAATGTGGCAAGCCAGTTAGAGAAATAAGTGCGTGTTACGAAGCGCGCGGAAGCAGGAAACTCGGGTAGCTAAAGCACTTACGGATGGTGTTCGTAGGCACATGATTTAATAAGCATTCGGAAGGAAAGTAATGTAGAAGCGTCATAAATGCAAAGCAGTTTTATTGGTGGGGAAAATGGGCCTTTGGACAAATGGAAATTTAGAAATACAAATCACTACGAAGCCTAATGACTCAGTCACTCGGATTCAAGTGGCGCAAAGATCACATCATTCCCATTCCTCCCATGCCTCCCATACCACCCATGCCAGCGGCCGGCGAGGGCTCCTCTTTTGGAAGATCCGTTACGACGGTCTCTGCAGTCGTCAACAGAGAAGCGACGCCAGCAGCATCCACCAGGGCTGTGCGAACGACCTATAATGGACAAAAATTGATTGTGTGAGTTGATAAAACTCAGGCTGAAAGAATAGCGATTAAGGTCATTGTAACTCAGCTCACCTTGGTAGGATCGATAATTCCTTCCTCTATCATATCAACGTAGGTGTCATTGAGGGCGTCGTACCCCATGTTGCCAGAGAGACCCATAAGTTTCTCAACGACTACCGAAGCGTTCACCCCAGCGTTGGCCGCAATTGTATAAGCCGGAGTTGAGAGTGCGCGGAGGACAATCTGGACGCCTAATATAAAAAGCCGTTTTTGGTAACATTTGCAGACTAGTTTTATCTTAATTACAATAGTAACACAAAAGCAGAATGACTGACAACTTTTGACGCATTGAAATGGATATCGCGTTAGAGTTCGGCTAACTGTATCAATCGACATATAAAAGTGCATGGAGTGTGGCATAGATGAATCACATGACCGGACGGTCTTCAAAGGTGAGTTATGCGATCACGCAAATGTTGTAGCACAAAGTGATTTGCTAAAAGCACTAATCAAGTTGCGCGAATTTCATGTAGGTCACGATCGACCCGACGCAGGTCGTTGACTCGGTCGGAACACTCGATGACCACTATCGACCGGCAGCTCACGTAAATATCAAGTGTCACAGACGCAGAGCTCCGAAGAGCAAAGGCCCATAGGTTTCTCAACGACTACCGAGGCGTTCACCGCGATGGTGTAAGCCGGAGTTGAAAGTGCGCGGAGGACAACCTGGACGCTTAACAGATAAGTAAAGATGCTTTCGCCAGGTGTGGTTGACATTATATGCAGATTACCTTTATCCTGCTAAAAATAGTGACTTAAAATTAGGCTGACTGGTAACTTACATCGCACTGAAATGGATATCGCATCAAAATTCGAGTCACTGAATTTACCGACATGTAAAAGTTCACGGTGTAGAATAAATGAATCACATGGCCGAACAGTCTCCAAAGGCAAGTTATGCGATCACGCAAATGTTGTAGCACAAAGTGATTTGCTAAAAGCACTAATCAAGTTGCGCGAATTTCATGTAGGTCACGATCGACCCGGCGCAGGTCGTTGACTCGGTCGGAACACTCGATGACCACTATCGACCTGCAAAACATGAAAATAAGGCTAGTCACAGACGCAAAACCTTGAAGGGCGTATGGGAAACTAAAGTGCCCACTCGGAGGACTAAAATAACCGTTGCAAACAATGGCAAGCAAGTAGTGGGAAAGTGATGTCGCTAAACACGATAAAACTCGTTAAGCCAACTTGTAGGTGCAGACAACCCTGATGACATGAAGCTGGCAGAAGAGCTCACCTATTTTTTGGTCCTCATTTTTACACTGTACGTTCTGCAGACACGGGATACAACGAAGAAGAGCTACGCCACCACCAGGAACGATGCCTTCCTCCACGGCCGCTCTCGTAGCGTTAAGAGCATCTGTGAAACGATCCTTCTTTTCGCTGACTTCGACCTCACTGCTGCCGCCAACCTTTATGACAGCGACACCATTCGAGAGCTTAGCCATACGCTCCTGCATCTTTTCTTTTTCGTACTCACTATTAGAAGCTTCAATCTCGCTCTTAATCTGAGAAATCCGCTTGTCAACGTCAGCTTTGGCTCCGCGCCCACGCATGAGGAGACAATCGTCTTTAGTAACAACAACCTCAGCCACTCTGCCCATGTCATGCAACTGGGCATCCTCGAGTTTGTACATATCTGCCTCATCACCGAAAACCTGGTAAAGAAACGACCAAAGGGTGCAGTTGTCAAAAATACATGCGAAAGTTACCGACGAAATAGTGTACGAAAGTCGAGTAACCAGATTGCGGGTGGGAAGCCTGGGCGATCCTACAAACCAGCCGCAGTATACATTGAAACGGTAGGAAAGTAGGCGGGCCGGAGTTTTCGTAGCAATTACACTGTCTTAATTCGGACTACTTCGAAATAAACATATGAGAAAGGAAGCTAATGGCCTCGAAATGATGAATAGCTAGATGGTATGGAATTGAATGGCAATTCAAGCAGCCTGAGAATGCGTTGAGAGCACAGAAAGCTGTGGCATGGTGCGTAAGCAGTGCTCGGTTAGGTCGCATTTCACCTAGTAGTGATATGGGTGTGTATACGATAATGCCTTGGCAGTAGAAAGCACAACCGACAGCAAGTAACATTTTCCCAGAGGGTCATGAGGCGGCTTGCGAGCAGCATTACGTGACAGGCTCAGTCAAGCGCCGAGTGCGACCGGGTCCAGGTATATTTTTAAGTATCAAAACAGTGCATACTTAGTCTACGCGGCAACCGATCAGGTTCGAGATAATGACGTAGAAGGCGATTAGGAGCGAAAGCAGTGACAATACAAGCGATCGGATAGCAGGAACTTGGTATCTGCTTGAGGGAATACAAGGTGAAGGAGAAAATGTAACACATAGGGGAACTCACGACTCCACCGGTTGCAATGGCCATATCGCGCAAGGTATTTTTTCTGTTGTCGCCGAAACCGGGCGCCTTGACAGCGCAGACCTGAAGTCCTAGTTTTATTCTGTTCAATACAAGGGCAGTAAGTGCCTCTCCCTCAACGTCTTCGGCGATGATGACAAGGGGCTTTTTCTGCTGATGGCACAGCTCGAGAGCCGGAAGTAGAGTTTGAATGCTGTTGATCTTCTTTTCTGAAAATAAAACGAATGAATCTTGAAATTCGCAGCGAGCCCCTTTTTCGGTGTTAATGAAATATGGTGAGATGTAGCCCCGATCAAATTTCATCCCTTCAATAAACTCCAGCTCATCCTTCAAAGTTTTCCCGTCCTGAAAAACGCTTGTAACGAAAGAGAAAACTTACCTTAACTGTTATGGTTCCATCAGTGCCGACTTTTTTCATGGCCGTGGAGATTAACTCGCCAATAGTGCTATCACCGTTGGCAGATATAGTGGCAACTTGAGCCACCTCCTCGGGCGTCGATATGGGCTTAGATAGCTTTTTGAGCTCATTTACAGCAGCATCAACAGCCAGCATGACGCCTCGCCTGAATTCTATGGGGTTGGTGCCCTTACTAATCTTTTCGAATCCTTCCTTTGCGATGGCTCTGGCCAGCACGGTGGCAGTGGTAGTTCCGTCACCCGCCTCTTCGTTCGTGTTATTCGCGACATCTTGCACCAGTCGGGCGCCGATGTTCTGAAACTTATCTTTAAGTTCAATACCCTTTGCAACCGTGACACCATCCTTCGTTATCTTGGGGGATTTCCACGAGCTTTCTAGAATAACGTTCCGCCCCTTTGGTCCCATAGTCCCGGCGACCGCATCTGCAAGAATGTCCACTCCGACAAGCATAGCAGCACGAGCGTCCGCGCCAAATTTTACATCCTTTGCGTAATTACGCCCAGATGCTATGCCACACAATCTCCAAGACGACGAACGAAAGCCAGACAAGCACCGGAGCATCACGACACGGCAGAGAACGTGCTAGAAATGAAGGTCAATTGGTACGGTTCAAACAAATGACAATTTTTTGAATACAATTCATTGACATACAAAGAAACACGCATTCATTCCAAATTATTAGCAATTATTTTATTGCTTTTTTTATAAATATTGTTATGTTTTAGTCTCAAGACCTTGTTAGCTCAGCACAGCGGAAAAATTCCAATTCAGAGGCGGTTGGAACTAGAATGATAAAGTTCACGGTAATGATTTCTTTTTGAGTAGACGGTTAAGCCAGGAAGTGATAAGAGGAATCTAACCCCTAATGATTCCCGCGCAAAATACGACTTTATACTGCTGCTCATCCAGGTTTCAAGTTCAAGTGGGACTGGAACGATAGGATGAATCCCGCAAGTATTCCTTCTTCAGCAGGTCATCGATCCAGGAGTTGATAGAGGTGCTCCGACTTATTAATGGGTTTAAAAGGAAAACACCCGAAAAAACACCTTGGTCCACCAATTTAATGCCCACGTTCCTTACATTAGCTGTCTCAGCTATGTCAGTTACGTGAAGTAAGTAAGAGAGCAAGAAAAAGTAAGTGAGTTGGGGGAATAGTTAAAAGGAGAGAATAATATCAATGACGAGGAAAAATAAAGAAAATAGAATCGAAGTATGAAGATGTGAATTAGTCAGGAAAAAGGAAAGGTTTCGTGTTGCCATCCAAGAGCGGCTACTTGACGCTCAAACCCCTTAACTGTAGATTTCTTGACAACATTTTTTGGAAGCAGGTTCCAGCGCTCGATGATTCGACGTGATAACCGTGTCTCCGCTCTAACTCGATCGGACCGCGGTTTGTCCAACTTCGTACAATGCCCTCGGAGACCAGATAATCTATCAGCACTAAATAACCAGGACAAATCAGGGCCAACCTTCCCAGTCAAAATACGGTATATTAGGATTAGGTCCCTCTTATCCTTCGATAGTGCATTGAATGCATCCCCAAACTAAGTAGGCGCTCGGGGTACTTTTGCCCTCGTAATCCCTTGGCCAACCTAGTACCGACACGCAACACTCTTTCTAGTGCCATTGTGTCCCGGACAAGGGATGGTGGACAGGCCTGGACGCAATATTCTACGTGGGGTCGCACAAACGCTGAGAAGAGCCTCACAAACAAACAAGCGGTTAGGGTCCCAAAAGAAGGACAGCTAAACCACAACATCCGGAACCCTTTACTAGCCGCCTTCTTCCAGTTGTCCCCAGGGTGCAGTGTGGAACAGTGGACGACACCTAGATTAAACTGATGAGTCACGTGAGGAAGTTCACTCCCACCGAGCACATAACTTATGGATGAAGCAGACGCTCCAATACGCAGCACTAAACACTTTGCCCAGTTTACGAGCAGCAACCACAAGATAGAAGGTTCCCAGAGTCTATCCAGAACCCGTTGAAGAGCCACAGGACCTCCAGAGATATCAACAATATTCCAAAGCTTTAGTTCATCAGCAAATAAGAGCGATGGCACCTCAAGCTCCTCCGGCAAGTCATTCACGTAGAAAGAAGAAAGCAGCGGACCTAGGACAGAGCATTGCGGAACACCGCTAAGTACAGCTTGTCGAAACGAAAGACTGCTTCCCGCACTAATACACTGTTCCCGTCCATCCAGAGAAGCTGACACCCACTGGAGAGCGCGACCAGCTGCTCCATACGACCTCAACTTCAGTGAGAGTCGCGAGTGGGGGACAGTGTCGAAGGCCTTGGCAAAGTCCGTGAACACCACATCCATCGCATGTCCACTGTCTACGGCTTCAGCCCAGCACTCACGAGCTACCAGCAAGTTCGTCTGACACGAAAATCCTTTGCGAAAACCATGTTGCTCGACCCAAATCAGGTTAAACTTATTTAAATGGTTCTCCACTGTATCTTGTACTAATCTTTCAGGCAACTTAACGACCGCGCTAGTCACGCTTACAGGCCTGTAATTAGCCGGTAGGCTTTGTCACCGCACTTGAAAATCGGGCAGACAACCGCCTCTTTCCATTCGGTAGGAGTGACTTCTGAAACACACAAGTTAGAGGTCCACTGAGTTCCACAGTCAATTCGTGCAACAATTTTAGATGAACAGAATCTGGCCCGGAAGCCTTAGTTGGGTTTACCTCTCTCAGCAACCGGAGAACTTGGGTCTCATTTACAGGAATTTCATCCAGACAACAGTCTTCAGAGATGCCTGAAGCTAATTCCCTGCATGCCGTATTCGTTTCGAGGATAAAGACGCTTGAGTACTACTTACTAAGCTAACATACCTTGTCATAGTCACTACAGGCATGGGTCCCATCTCCTCGAAGCAATGGTGGTATGGGCAAGTTTGCACCACAGCGTCGTTTAACGTAAGCGAAGAATTTCTTGGGATTTTTCGAGGCAGCATTAGCTAAGCCCTTTTCATACTGAAGCCGGGCCAACCTAAGATGTAGCTTGCACTCATTTCGAACCAACCGATGCTTGTCAAACGTGCTGTTCGACGTAGCTGTTCGATACGCTCGCCAGCATCTAGACCGCTTCTTTAGCAGGCCATTCCCCTGGAACCTATCCACGGAGGCTGCACTCTCGCTTCCCTTCTTTTTACCAGTGGGATTTGAGGTGCAGAAATGTCGACGAGGTGTGCCTTAAGTTTTTACCAGGATATCTGAACAGTATCGGTCTCCGATATCACACAAGGCGATGACCTAGCTTTATCCCGCATCGCTTGGAAGTCCGTGGCCAAAATGTTCGGAAACCAACTGGTAGTAGCCTGACAAAGCCTGACAAGAGCGCACTGGAAAGACAAACAAACGTGGTCGCTAGCGCCAAGAGGCGAGTCGTATTTAATGGCGTTTACAAAGTCAAGTGACTTAGCAAAAACAAGATCTAGGATGGTCGGCTGCTGATTGCTAGTGGGGCGGTCCACGAACTGGTGTAGTGGTACCTGCAGCGTCAAGTCCAGCAGTTCTGTACCGAACGATTCCAGGGCCGAACTGCAAGATAGATCATCCCAACAAACCTCTGGGAGGTTAAAGTCTCCCAGCACCAGACAGTTGTTCGCAGAGTGAGTGCGTATAAACTCAATGATTCCATTGGAGGTACTCATAGGACTTCTATACACTAACACGACCGTAACCTGAACCGAGGAAGCGCAAATCAAGACTGCGAGGGCCTCAACAGATTTGTCGAGAGACTGAAAAACGCTGGTCCTCAATACGCCGATGGGATAACTCACATAAAGAGCTACACCACCCCCTTGTCGGCCAGTGGAGCGGTCAGCGTTGAACAGTGCGTAGCCAAGCAGATATACTTCGCCACGTGTGATTCCTCAGACAGCCACGTTTCAGTGAAAGCAAGTATATCTGGACAAGTTTTGTCTACGAGCATACCCACTTCGCACATATTCTTCCTCAGGCTACGCACGTTACTAAGTACTACTTGGAGGGCTTCGGCACGACCAGTGCTGGGTCGTGCGCAAGTAGAATAGGTTCTGGCAGGGCGGAAATGAACCGCCGGCTGACCACCTGAACACCCAGCAATCGGAGACCTTGCTCGCCAGCTGCACGCCGGGCTTTTATGTCTCTGATTGCTTCCTTTAACTTTAACCTGTCCGCTAACAGAAGTTCTGGTTGCACACTAATGTTTGTACCTTTGAGCTTGAAGGCAAATTTCAGTAAGGCACTGCGCTCTTCTGTGGTGGAGAGGACCACCCTAAGCAGACGGGATCGAGGATTTGGTTGACCAACCGGAAGGTTCCCCAATCTGTTGAGCTTCCTGACAGTAAAGCCAGGGAAACCTGGTGGTAAAAGCCTGGTCACGCAAACTTTAAGCCAACCAAGATCATCAGGCATGCGCTCGGTGGGAAGAGCGGCAGTGGATTCAGTGACGTTTCTGGAAAACACACTGCTATCTGTGTAAGAATCGCCTCGACGAGGTGTATTTACGCCACATGCTCTACCATCCACGCCACGTGGCATTTTGACAGGTATCGGTGGGACCGAAGGCGACAGCACCTCTTGTCTCACTGAGGGAATTGCAACACCAGGTGGTGTTTCCAACTCAGCAGCATGTTTCCTGAGCGTTTTATAACCTTCTGGTTTGGGGGCGGACGGGTTGCGCGCTTTCCTTGCCCACTTACGCTTATTCTTTAATGGCCCAGGAGCCCGTGACTGGCCTTCCATTTGGGGTGGGTCAATAATGCCGTTCGAGGCATCTGTGCCAGTTATATCCACGTGAACTGGAGTGTCCGGTAGGATGGACGCCTCGTCAACGGTTGGACCATCAGTGGAAGGACAGTCCATTACAGCTTCCACATTCGCAATATTCAAGGATTTCATAATCAAATCCACCTTAGAGTTGAGTGAGGCAAGAGAGGCAAGCTAGGTTAATGCCTTCTCAACAACTGTGAATGTGGATGCTAGTGCTTTGAATTCAGCACAGGTGAAAGCCGGGAGCTTCGCTTTCTGAGCGCAACAATCAGCACATCTAAACAGAAGCTTTTTACTGGATGATAGCATGTTGTATTGATTCGCTAGGAGGCCGGTACAACTTTTCTGCTACCAAAGAGAACAAACATCACACTGCATACCACCACAAGTTTTAAGTTCAGTTGGTACTGGAACGCTGGGACAGGCCGTGAATGTTCCTTGTTGAGTGAATATGTAGGTCAGGTACTGACTAGACGCTCAGTGGCTCTGCTGGATCTAAAACGGAACGCGCGTGTTACATCATGGTCTCCCGATTACTGTTCACGGTACCTAAACCTACAATTTCTGCTGTGGCATCCACGTGCAGCAATCATAGGATAGAGACAGACATCCTAGGTACAGAAGTAATATTTTCGGTTGAACTATGTAGATGCTTCAGAAATACAAAGGAAAGTATCATTGGATCATAGGATTGTAAAGAGCAGAAGGAAAGTCCCTTGTCAGCTCCTTCACTTCCCGACCATCGAGTGGATGCCATGAGTCGCTACGAGATGGTATTCCACAAGGGGCCGTAACAACTACAATGGAAGTAGCAAGGTCCTAGCTTACTCATCAAGTGAGAGTT